GTAACTGAGAATTTAGGGTAGGTTGTCCATTTAGAAAATACCATCTATCAGGGAAGTATTTCAGTTACTTTCCCCACTGCACTTCTCATCGGCACTCCAGCTCATCCCTCCTGGTATTGCCAATATCTGGTGATGTGTTCTATGTAGATGTCTTTTGACCATCTGATGGCGTCTGACACCATGAGTTGCCGCATCAGCCAAGCGTTGACCGATTTCTACATGCAAGTCTGTACAAATTCTTCAGCTGTTGAATGTAAACTTCTGCAAGACCTTACAAAGAGCAGATGACAAAGGGAAGATGAGGATGGGAGTGATATGGACAATCGACAGTGATATACTGGCTTTTCAAACTTTAGAACTGCCTGGGCCTGATTCTGCTAGCCCTAAGAAAACATTCTTGATCTTAAATATCACATTAGAATATCGGAGGGACCTTCTGCAAACCAGCTGCATGACTAAAGGGATGAAGGATACGCAAAAGGAAAGAAGACTGGAAACTGGTGTCACTGAAGGGCAGAGCTAAAGTTCTTTCTGCTGACAGAACTCCGCATAGCTCTCCAGCAACAATGCAGGCTAACTCCTGTGTTAACTCCATGGAAGGCTGGTGCAACTCAGTTGTGCACCCAGATGGGAACTGCTCTAGTTTCAGAAGGGAGTTCATAGAAATCATAGAAGATTCAACCCCCTGCTCAAAGCAGGACCAACCCCAACTAAATCGTCCCAGCCAGGGCTTTGTCAAGCTGGGCCTTATAAACCTCTAAGGATGGAGATTCCACCACCTCCCTAGGTAACCCATTCCAGTTATTCTGTCTGAACCAGTTCACTGCCATGCAGCTCACACAGAGTGCAACGTCAACCTCTGGCTCTCGCAGTGTTGGCACCTCTGACCCATGCTCACCCAGCCAAGGCTCTGTCAGATCCCCTGTCTGACACCCACACTGTGTATCTTTGTGTCATGCTGACTCCAGCACAGCATCAGGGCACTGCTTGGCCATTATTTAGGGATCTCTGACTCCATTCAATGCAGAACTGGTGTTTGGCTGGGCTGCGTCGGGCTGCTCTGGAGCTTGTTTTGCCTGGAACAATCATGACCCCCAGTGGACAGACAGCTCCATTGCAGGCAGAAGTATTCCTGCAAGGCACTGATCTCCAGAAAAACAGAGCCAACAGCCTCCATCAGATTCAACGATATTCAGAACAGAGAAAGACACCCTTGCTAAAGTGTGTCAAGTGCTCAGCCTTATGGAGAAGAGTCCTGTGGCTCTCTCAAGCTCAGTGCCTGCCCTTTGGAACGAGTGTCAATTTATTTTAAAATCTGTCTTTAGAATAAGCAAACATTTGCACTGTGCACATTACAGAAGGAACCACAATGATTACACAGCTCTGTGCTAATCTGAGTGGCTTTCAGCTGCACAATAGCCACACACCTATACTCATCATGACACAAGTGATAACAGACAGGGCCAAGCAAGTTAAGATGAGCTCTCTCTCTCTGCAGGGTGATTCAAACCAGCGCAAACTTGTCTGCACAGTCATCTCTGGTTTGTTTTTAAGTTGCATTGCTGGCTTCCCACCAAGCTTCAGTTTTGGGTGATGTCTGCTAGACAATGAGATCAGCATCATGGAGCTGACCTGCAGAACCTACTCCCTTCTTTCTTTCTCAACAGAGATCAACTACCCTCTATGTTCAACTCACTGATGTAGATGGGGGAGGAAACTCAAAAGTGGGAGCAAGTTGCAGTTTAATTCTAGGCTTGGAAGTGTGTTCTTCCAGTAGAGCTAGTTTTCTGAAATGTTGCTGTAGTAAAGTATTTAAGTTTTCACTCTTGCTAAGTCCATGCCACCGCAGTTTCTGCTTTGTCCAAAGTATTTTCCCACCCCTGCTCCTCACCGTTCCATTGTGTCTTACTGATTTGGTAAACCCCTTTGATGTAAAATGCCCCCCTCTGCCTGGTCTTCCCATTCTATCTCCCCTTCGGGGATTGTGCCGGCCATATGGACAAGCATTCCCCCCACTCAGTTTTCAGTTGTGCCTCCACTAGGTCAGACTCTGCTCATTTCCGAGTGGCCCATCTAGTTCTTCCTGCTTATTGCACGAGCTCATGGAACTGGGCATCTGTAGAGCAGCCCTGGGTCTCCTGTGAGCAAAGTGTGCCAGTCCCTTCTCCCCTGGGCTTTTGCAGGAAGGGGAATAGGACTCTGAGTCTGTCCCAGGAGCTGCTGCTTTTGGGGACCCCACCTCATAACATTTTCTGGAGCAGCTTCCTGTCTCATCTCAGCACCATGACGTCATCCTGCCTGCACAGAGCCCAGCACTGTGATGTCAGGGTGAGGTCAGCATAGTGCCGGAGTGAAAGCAGGGCAGCTTGATGCTCAGTGTCTCAGCCATTGGGACACAACAGGGAAAGGGAGGGAAAGACAAAATGCAAATATAAAGAAGTGGCAAGAGCAGAGAGAGAGGAGCTCAGACAAGTCCCTGCGAGGAGGTAAGGGGCCTTCTCATGTGACAAGTGACCAGGGTGCTCAGTGAGGTGTTCGTGTGAGCAGGTGGGGGAACAAGCTCATAAATCCCCAGATCAATCTGGCTTGTTCAAAGGGAAACATTTCCAGAGTTCTGCTGTTTTTGGCAGAAGGGGAGTTGGACAGTTACACTCATTATCTCACACATCTCACACATCAGCATTGTGTCTTTATTTGCAAGGTCCAGCCCCCTGTTTTATGTGGCCAAACATAAACTATGTTTTACCCAGGGTATCCACCAGGGTTAGAATGTGGGGGCTAACATAGAGCATGTTTTTTAGGCCCAATCTTGCAAATGTCTGCAGGGGAGTACAGCTGAAATTTTTTGACCAAAAAGCTTTTTAACTGGACATTTTTATTTTTCCTTTTTAAAAATTAAAATTTCTGTGAAGTATGTTGACTTTTTCCAATTTTTTCCCAGTAATATTTTTGTCAACATTTTGAAGGGATTTTTTGATCCTAAACATTATCAATAGAGTAACTGACATTTTTTTACTCAAAAAGAAGCAGGATTTTGACAAACAAAAAATTCCCATAATGGTCCAAAGATATTCTTGATAAAAGTATTTAATACAATTTTGAAAAATGAGATGCGGGTCCCTTTGGAGCCCAACAAAATGGAAACAATTAAAAAAAAAATCTCTGACTTTCTTTTTAAATTTTCCCAACAGCTCTACATGTAAGTAACTTACTTGGTCAAGTAGTTTCAGTGAAATCAATGGAACTACCTTGCCTAAGTAAAGCTATTCACATGCCATTTCAGCCAACTCTACTCCCATGCATAAATGTTTTCAGGATCAGGCACAATAAAAGTAATCCTGTAATAATACAACTTTTGTTTGTGGCTCAAATGTTATTTATAGTGTATCTTTTCCTTGCTTATGTGGGCTAGCTAAGTAGCCATGTTCTAATCCTGGTAGATTCCTATTAGTATTCTAAAACATGTTTTATGTCTGTGTGGCCATTGGATAGATAAGAAGGAGCACTGGAAAGGAAGAATTGTCCAGGGAGTTAGGATGCTAGCCTGAGACTGCGTTATCTTCTATGTGAATGTTTAAATGACTGATTCTGGTTACTTATTGTCCCCTCAGAGCTGATTGAAAATTAGAATTCCTGTCCAACATGCAATTCTGGTATTTCAACATTTGACTATGTCCTAAACTGAGATGAAATGTCAAAATAGCTACATTTTTCACAAGACAGATGAGTGAAACACATCAACATCTTTGGTCATGTCTACACTACAGACTTTACAGTGGCACAGCTGTACCAATGCAGCTGCGCTGCTGTAAGATCTCCTGTGTAGTCGCCCTATGCTGATGGGAGAGAGCTCTCCCGTCAGCACAATTAAACCACTCCCAATGAGCAGCGGTAGCTGTCAGAGGGAGACATGGTGCTGTCCACACTACCATTTCTGTTGGTGAAACATATGTCGCTCGGGGGTGTTTTTTCACATACCTGAACGACATAAGTTATACCAACATACGTGCTAGTGTAGGAAGAAGAAACCCTGGACAGACTAGTATGCAGGAGCCCCCTAGGGTGACCAGACAGCAAGTGTGAAAAATTGGGACAGGTAGTGGGGGGTAATAGGAGCCTATATAAGAAAAGATCCAAAAAATCGGGACATCTGTTCACCCTAGAGCCCCCAGCTCTCGAGTCCCTCCTGGTGGGAACCTGCCCAGTCACACAGCAATAAATGTTTAGAGCGTGGTGGGGCCCAGAGACCTTGGGCGGGTGCCCACTCTGGTGATTTTAGTGCCAGTCTCCTGCCATTTTATGCCCTACATCGGGGTCGGCAACCTTTCAGAAGTGGTGTGATGAGTCTTCATTTATTCACTCTAATTTAAGGTTTTGCATGCCAGTAATACATTTCAACGTTTTTAGGTCTCTTTCTATAAGTCTATAATATATAACTAAACTATTGTTGTATGTAAAGTAAATAAGGTTTTTAAAATGTTTAAGAAGCTTCATTTAAAATTAAATTAAAATGCAGAGCCCCCTGTACCGGTGGCCAGGATCCGGGCAGTGTGAGTGCCATAGGTTGCCTACCTCGCCCTACATAAAGTCCCAGCTGCTGGGGTAACCTGAGCTCAGACTCTGGGTCAGCCCTCTGCACATGTCTAGCTTCCAGGGCGGCAGCAGAGGCCAGCCTGGCAACGAGCGCTGGGCTGGACCCGTTAGAGCCCTGCTGCGGGATTTCCAAGCTGCTTGGCTCTGCCAGTCCCAGGCCAGGCGGCACCAGCGCGCAGCAGCCTGGCCCAGCGCTGGGAGCCAGGCACGCGGCCACGTGCTCCCGGAGAGGGCATTACTGAGGATACAGGCGAGGGCGACGGCTTCCGCGCGGCTTCATTTGTCCATTGCGCACGCACGCCCACCTTGCACATGCGCTCTGGGAGGCGGGCCGTGTGCACCTGCGTAGTAGAGTGGAGGCGCCGTTTGAGCGGAGGCGCGCGGCGAGTGTCGGAGTTTGAAGCGGGATGTGGCGGGGCCGGGCTGGGGCGCTGCTGGCGGCCATCGGGGCGCTGTGCCGGGCGCTGCCGCCGGGGAACCGGCCCGCCCCGGAGACCTTCCGCCTCGCCAAGTTCGACCAGCCCGAGGCGGTGAGAGCGGGGGAAGCCGGGACCGATCCTCCCTGGCCCCATAATAACAGCACTGTCCCCTCTCTGCCCCATAGCATCACCAGTAGCCCATAGCAACGCCCCCGCTGCCCCAAAGCAACATCACTGGCCCCTCCCTGCCACATAGCAACGCCCTCCCGCCCCCACTGCCCCATAGCAACACCACTGCCCCCTGACAGTGCCCCCTCACTGCACCCCAGCAGCACCCCATCTCCTCTCGGTGGCCCCTGCCCCATAGCAATACCCCTCCTCCCTTACTGACCCATAGAATCCCTCTACCTCCTGGGTTTGCCCCCGCTACCCCACAGCATCCCCCCTGCCCCATAACATTAATGCCTACTTCTCCTTTTACCCTTGTAATGTCATCTCTTCTCCCATACCATCACTCCCTGTGGTGGGACCCTAGGCAACTTTCCTGTGCTCTCAGGCTTTCTTCATGCTGGGTATTCCTGCCTTTGGCATAGCTGCCCTGGTGAGACAGGTGCAGCTGATATAAGCACAGTTTGCCACTCAGCCCAGTGTGCAACCAGGTCACACTGCAGTGGTGCAAATTGTGGCTTGTAACAGCTTTGCTTGTAGTAGGGTCTGCACTGGGCAGCTACACCAGTGAGCGGGGTTGGAACAAATCCCCAGTGGCAACAAGGTCTGTGCATCAGTTTTGCCTGCTGTAAAGGAGGAATAATAGCACTCAGTGAGCAGTAGGTGTGTGGATGGGACGGTGCTGTATGAATATTCAATGTTACTCGCTAGTTCTCATTAAAATAATGCCTCCATACTGTTCGTATAGCTAATCTGTACAACTCTGTGTATCTGTGCCCTCCAGCACTCCATGGTGTTCTTCACTAGCTTGTCACCACCTGGTAGCGTTGGCACCCCTCTGCTGTGATCCCTGTAATGTCAACTCCTAAGGGTTTGTCTACACATGGAGTTATTCTGGAATAAGTGCTGAATAACTCAATGTGTGGACGCCCTTATTCTGTACTAAGAATCTCCACATACAGAGTTATTCAGGAATAGTTCTGGTGCTCTAAATTCACACCCTACCTTAATTTGAATTACCTTTCAAATCTAGGGAAGCATACCCTTCCCCCCTCCCGTGCCTGACAGTCATATTCCCTCTGAAGCCTTGATTCTGTAGTGTTACCTCTTCACCTCCCACCATGAAGGTACCCCTCATAACCCACCTGAGGCCCTTTAGTCATGGTACGTCAGCCATCCCTGTAATGATTCCAGCTTCCTCCTCCCCCCATGTTGGGAAATAAAAAGCCCAGACAGCCAGATATGCATGATCAACTTCCATTTACATTAGAGGGAAATAATCTTCTAAATCCAAGAGCAAAATAGTCTCCCTTGTCTCCATGCTGCCCTTCCTTTCTTTTCGGTGGGATGATCTCTTTCCATGTCTTCTCTTGCTTAGAATCTTGTTCAGAAGCTCTGAAAAATTCCTGCTCTTGGAGAATTTCCTGGAAACTTCTATTTTCTACTTTTTTTTTTTTTCCCAGAATTGAAGCTTGACACTTCCCTCTGGTGTGCAGCACATTCTGCTGGTCACTCAGAGTATACTTCCCTCCCCTTATCCTGAATAATCTTAGGCCCCCTCTGTGCTAAGGCTTTGGAAACTCTATTGGCGGAAAGGCCTTGACCTATCTCTGCATATAGGCTGTTTTGTATTTGTCTAGGCATTTTACAAATGTTGGCTGCAATTCCTTGTAGGAGTGCTTGCCTTAAACTGTCATAGTCTGTAACCGTGCTATCCTAGCTTCTAACTACATTGGTTGAGCTAGTTCTCATAATAATAGCCCACAATGCAATGCCTGGTGTTTACAAATTACCCTAAAGCCCCTGCTCTTGCAGCATTTTAGGACATTTCTTTCAGGCATCCCAGAACGAACTGGTTCAAGTGTAAGTATAAAGTGTGCTGTATGTGGCTGTGCCTTTTTAGAAGCAGTGCTGTTGTGTGGTTGTGGGAGAGAGGTGCCCAATTGTTCCAGGCAGTCAACAACCCTGTAACACTTTCCTTTGCTGAATGCACAATCTTCATGTTATTGCCATTAATCTGAGGAAGCACAGGGCAATACAAGTACCTGCCTATCCTTTCCCCTCTTTTCTTGCTGAGTGGGCACCTTGTGTTGTTCCAGGCAATGGCCAGTGCTGAGTAATTAAAGACAAATACATGGCAACTCTTCTGAATGCTGAGGTTTCCTTTCTGATCTTTCATAGAGTTTGCAGATTTGGAGGCTGCTGTATTCTCTTCTAAAGCAAATCCATGACGGAGGATGGACTGAGCCTGATACCATAGGTAATAAAGTATTTTCTCACCTGGTGCTTGTAAGGTTTGACTCAGTTTCTGGGAGTGACCTGAGTTGGACTTAGAGCTCCCCTTCCTCAGCAGCCCAGCATTGCGGGCTTCAGACGCCATTCTGAACATCTTAGTTTATCCTATTGACCCTAATTCTTGCATCAAAGATGTGAAGATGGATTTGTTCATCAGAGCCTGTTGATTCATACTGAGCTTGTTTTATCCATGTTAATGAGGTTTCAGTCGGGCAAGCTGGATGTTCTCTCATCAGCTGTAGGCTCTTGCTTGTTTGGTGCATTTTACCTAACAGGTTACTGCAGTTGCATTTACACTCTGCATTGGCTTTACAAGTCCCCAGAATACTCAGAGATAATTACAGAAAACAGGTTTACTTCCTCTCTAATCTCTTATTTTCTCCTTCTAAACATGACACTTGACTCCACAGTAAAGTGCCATTAAATCCTACCTTAGGGCTGTGGATTATAATGGATGAACTGTGCCTCAGAGCTATACAGCCTGTGTTGTGGAGCCAAGTCTCGGAGTAAAGAAGGAATCCACTATGTGTATGTACTTTAGAGAGGATGTAAAATACAGCTATAATCAGGAACCATGTCGCAGAGAAAGCCTGCATACAGGTTGGCTTTTTTACCATCTTGTCAAAGGGAAGAGCTTAATCACTGTTGGCTATTTAAATATACATTACTCCAAACACAGTGCTAGTCCCCAGGTCTATGCCTTCCCCAGATATCCCCCAGTGACCTCCTACAGTGTGCCCCTTCACTGGAGCAGGGATGATGTGAATGTGGAATCCTTCCACAGCCTTAGAAGTTTTCTCAGCCCCAAACCAGCCAAAATTGGCTCCTTAAATCTCCATGGGTCAAACTATGCTTGTCAGGCTTCTGAAGATCCAAAGTAGCCTACAGTTGTGGAAACTGAAGCAGAGAGATTAAATGACTTGGCCAAGATCTCTCAGGAAGTCCATGGCTGAGCCAAGAATTGAACACTGGTTCCCCTCGTTCGGTTCCCAGTCATCATTTTTTTCCCTGATGCTTCAGTTGCTATGCACAGACATTACACTGAAGTTCCACCATGTGCACCTATGTGCTAAGGCAATTCAGCTGTGTCTCTTGTACGCTTGATAGGGATAGACATTCAGAAAGCATAGCTGAGCACATAATTTGGCCTCTAATCTATTAATTTACAGGCTGATTGGACTTTTAAAATATTAAATTGGGAAAAAAGAAATGCCATCATGTGGAACAGTGATTGCTTCTGCATTGGTTGTTGGCAGAGTCTGAACTTGAGATCTTCATATGCACATGATGGACCTCTAACCAGAAAGTTGACAGACACTTTGCTAGTGAATTGCACAGTTTTTGCTAGTGAATTGCACAGTTTTTGCTAGACAATAGTATAATTTTGGAAATTAGGATTCCTGGAGTGTCTTTCTGGTTTGATTTCAAGCAGTCTGGTTTAGTGGTTAAAGCAGTGGTACAGGCAGGATAGCTAAGCATACAGATTTAACACATTTATCGAATGGCTAAGTGAATGAAAGTTGGGTCTGCCGTATTCAAGACCAGTGTTCTATTATGTAGCCTCCATTTTTTTGCAGTATCTCAGTGCCTCCTAATCTTTAATGTATTTTATTTTCACAACATTCCATGTTACAGATGGCAATCTGGGACTTAGAAAGACTAAGTGACTTGCCCAATGTTATACAGGAAGTTTGTAGCAGAATTGAACTCGGGTCTCTGAGACCTAGACTAGTACCCTAACAACTGGGCCATCCTTCCCTTCTTTGTGTAACTTCTCAGTTACCTTATCTGTAAAATTGAGGGAAAATAATAATTCCCTGGCCCTAGAGCAGGAGTATCAGGCCTTGGTCAGTATAAGTTATGAAGAGCACACAAATATTAAAAGCAGTCAGTGGAGGAGGAGACTTGATTTCATGGTCTCCTGGCTCCCAGGCCAGTGCACCTTTTAGACTAAAAGTATTTTCTGGGAGATCACTCTCTCTGAGTTTTGACCTGGAGTCTGTGCACATTGCCAGAGATCTCAGCAATCCTCATCACTTGTAGGACCAAAACAAACTCTAGTTATTTTCTGTTGTTAGGTTTTGGATCTGGTTATTGTTCCAGACACTAGCTCTTGCAGGGTATCCCAAGGATACAAGTATCCTGTGGCTTCTGCCCATGTTTTTTTATTCAGTATGTGTTCCAAAAAAGCAATAGACTTTCCAAATTTTAAAAACGGGTCACTTTGGAGAGAGATTGGCTTGGGAATCCTTTTGCATTGGCCTCGTTAGCGCTACAAAAGTAATTTTCCCTCTCTTGATATTCACCCCTTCTTGTCAACTGTTGAGAATAGGCCACTTCCACCTTAATTGAATTGGCCTCGTTAGCACTGACCCCCCACACTTGGTAAGGCAACTCCCATCTTTTCATGTGCTGTAATATTTATACTGTTTGTATTTTTCACTCCATGCGTCTGATGAAGTGGGTTTTAGCCCACAAAAGCTTATGCCCAAATAAATTTGTTAGTCTCTAAGGTGCCACAAGGACTCCTCATTGTTTTTGCTGATACAGACTAACATGGCTACCACTCTGAAACCTTTTGATTAAATGACCCTCAAATTTATACTATAAACTATACCCCAATTCGTGAGCTAGCATATGGGTTTTCAAGTCACTTTCACTATGTATGTTCATTTTAGGGAGGACTCAAACTCCTGCTTTAAACAATCATAATTATGGAGTGACTAATGGTCACTTTGTACTTCATATAGAAAAAGATTGTGTCATATTTTTAATGAGTGATGGTGCATAACTTCAGATTTGGGAAATCATCTAGAAAGTATTAGGTACTACAGACAGTGTTTTTAAAATGAATGAACTTGTGCAAAAACCCCCCAAACTAAAACCAAATCACACACCAACAAATCCCCCCAGTGTTCAGTGGATGGAAAATCTTGGAAGTCATCCTGTTTTAGAAGAGAATATTTTCCCTCTTTCTCTATATAATTATTTCTTATCCTAAACTTCTGGGGGGAAAAGTTCACACACACCAAAAATTCAGAATCATAGTTCCTTCATCAAGAAAGTTAGAGAATGAGTCAAAGTCAGCCTTGTACTGGAACTCTGGCATTAACTTTAATGAAGAAGTCACGGCCAGTACTTTCATACTGCTCTTTCCATTAGCTTTCAGTCTGCATGAACGCTCTTAAAATGCTAGTGGGATCTGCCTTTTGACATGTCAGTTATCTTTTGGTGTAGCAGTTTTGATACTGCCATAAAGAGTTCTGTAGCTATTGTATCTCTTTCATTCTTACCTATCAAACCAGAACTGTTTTTCTGCAGCAATAATTTTCCTTAATAACTCTGATTTGTGGCATCTCTACAGGTCGTTTTTGCCTGAGAGCATGAAGTAATGCATCCATTTTCATTCCTTGTCTTGACTCACATTTCTTTCTTCCTAGTATGCATAAACTCAGAATAATGTGTAGTTCTCTGTTGAATACAAAGCTGTAATTCATTGGAAGGGTTCTGCAGGCGTCTTAAATCAGAAGGGCACAACATGAGTACTGTATCACAGCTTGGCCCATATTCACTAAACTTTCTTTTTCAAATGAAATGTACATGCTGAGAGGGGTTTATTATAAAGATCAACAGAACCATTCTGTGTAAATTCCCTTACCTTAATGAAGTACCTCAGTAAAGCATTGGCCAAAAAACAGGCACTGTACTGCAGTAATTAGCATTATCTGCTATATAAGGAGCATTTTTCTCTCTATTCTGCACTGAGTATCATGCTCTTCTTTTGGCAGAGTGCATCTATCTATCTTAGGTATTTATCTGGCCATCACTGCCATGGTATATGAACATCTCACACTATTTTAAACAGGGTGATTGATTTAAATCACTAGTCAGGAAGACTCTATTTAATCATGGATTTCTACATAAAAGTGCATTCTTGTTGGTTGTTATAACCTTAATACATATTATTCACAACTCAGAGATAGATGTAGGTTTCATTTTTAGAAGGTACACACTATACATTTTTAAAGTGATTTATTTTGAAAACTTTTCAGATCAGCTTTACAGCTATATCAGAAAATGAATGATTGTTTGGTTATTTCATTTACCAAAGGTAATTGAAGCAGATATTTATGAAGTCATTGGGAGGTGAATTATCTCCAATTCAACAGGTTAATCATTAACATTTGGAAGATTTTCTTGCCATGCTGTATTAGGAGGAGAACATCACCAGACAGACATTTAAATTGTTTTATTTAACTAAAAGAACAACATTATGTATTCTGGAAGTTTTTCTTCAACAGGAAACATATAATATTTTAACAAAACAAGCATATGAATTTTTGAATTTAGTTAAACATTCAAGTTTTTTAAAATCAGGTTTGTTTTTGTTAAAATTGTTTTTAACTAAAATAGTTAAATGAAATATTAAAAAATAAATAAATAGACTGTCAGCTAGGTTAACATGAGAAACTTAAAATATTGGCTTCTGCAGCTAACTCAGTCGTCTTCACCTTCATTTTCCTGTTTGTTCATAATCTGGAAAAGAAAAACAAGCTTTCCTGCTTTTTCAGGTCCGAAACGATTTCTCAATTTGGAAAGGAGAGTTTGTTGCATAAACAAACTGGACAATTTTTTAATCAATAACCTCTTTTTGTAATCTGCTGGTTCTTATCACAAATTTATCTATGGTTGTTTCTGGATGATGGAGTATTTCCCTGCTCGCCCACAGATTCCCCCATGAGATCTTGGGCAAGTCATTTAGGCCTAGATCCTCAAAAGTATTTAGGCTCCTATGTTCCATGCCTTAGTCTTCCCCATTGGTATAATGGGGATAATAGCATTTCCCCCAACCTCACAAGGGTGTTTGCAAAGTTAAATACATTTAAAAGCAGGGTGGATAAAAATCAATTATTTAAAAAAAAATATAAAATCGGATTTTTTTATTTAAATCAGATTTTTTTGATA